GCGGTACCACAAAATCGCATGATTTTGTCTAACGGCATGCCGTTATTGCGCCGCTTGCGGTTGACACAGGCCGACAGACACCCTACCCAAGGTTTGTTCGCGGCCGTTACAGCTCGGACCCATCGATATCGCCTGCGATATGGAATGTGTACGTCGAAAAGTCCGCGGACAGACCGACTATACCCTCAACGGCCGACTACTACGGACCAACGTGTGGCTTCGACCCACGCCCTGAGATTAAGAGTCTCATGCTCTACCGACTGAGTTAGCCGGGCAACTTCGGTGTATACTCAAGAGGTTCTAGAGAAGAGAATATCTTTGGTTTGTTATACTACTAGCTAGCTAGCTGTCTTCTAGCTGGTGTCATCGAACTTGCACCTTGTGACTAAGCTGTCTAATCTGTCCATTCCGTAAGTCGAGCAACCCTTTGAGTAGTTGGTTTTGCATTCGATACTCTTGACTTTCATTTGCAATTCTTTGCAACAAGTTTAGCAACTTTTCGCGATCTATGGGTCGTGAACCTCTTAACGCTTCCGTGGCCAAGTCGAAAGGTGTTCGACTACTGCTGCCATCATTATTACTTCCACCACTCGTGTTGGTAGAGAATTTGAGTTCACTGTTTATCATCGTTGAGCGGCCGCTTGATGCTAGATTTATTGGAGCCTGGTTTATGTACGCTTGCGGGGCAGGCTGAGAACAAGATTTAATATGCTGAGCTGTTGCAGTTACGGTAGTTGCAGGTGGATGAGGCCTTGAAGATTTCCGTGTACTATGTTGGCTACTTAAATTTTCACTGATGCGTGTACGTTTCGCCAGTTTGTTTTGATTAGCATGACTAGCACGGTCGCTAATAGCTGTCGCAGAAGGCAATAGCTGGTTATGGTGACTTACTACAGCTATTGTTGTTTCAGCGTTGTTGAGCTGGATCTGCTGTGGTTGCTGACGCTGATTACGTAAAGGTGACGTTGACGAGGTGATTTCAATAGATCCGCTGAACTTTTCGCGTGTGTTGTGTGGCAATGTTTCCTTACCTTCACCTAGAGAGGTTTGCTTTACATCAGTCAGTTGAAGTGACGAGTTTCGGTAGCTCTTGGAGTTATCGTTTCCTTGGCTTATGGCGTCTAAAACTTGGCATTTATTCGGCGACTTAATAGTGTCTGCTTTGGTGGCGACAGATAAGCCAAAAGCCTTCCAGAAGTCGATGCCGAAATAGAATTGCTGTTGCAAAGCTGGTACTATATAGAACTCAATACTCCTGGTCTCGCCCTCCCACTCGACGGGTAAGGTGATGAGCCCCGTTACTGAGGTCTTTTCTCCATTTGCTGTTTTAACGTGTCGATCCCTTAGCTTGATGATTCGATGCCTTCGGTTCTCAAGGAATCTCGTTGCTCCGGCCCCACAACAACTAACGCTGGCTCCTGTGTCCAGAAGAGCGGTTACTTCGGTGTTGTCGACCTTGGTCCGCGCAAACAACCTGTCATCGTGTTCTAGGGAAACAATCGCTGAGATCTCCTTTTGCTGAAACCTCCTGTACGCCTTCCTTCTTTGGCGTAAGATCAGGATCTTTCCATGTCTTCTAGTGAGCGCTCGCCTTCTAGAAATCTCTGCGCTGAATATCTCGTGTCGCTTCTGCTGGTAGTCCGCGATCCTCTGTGCTAAGCTTCTGTACTCG